TTTTTGAGGGAAAACCACTAAATTTTAATAAATAATACCTTAAACTAAGTTAGGATAATACAATTGACATTGCTGGATTCCTTTAGACCAGGAATATTTGAATATAAATGTCATATATTTTGCACAAAAGATAACATAGTTACCTAGAAAATTTTTTATCTAAAAAATTTGTATGTTTTAATGCAAAATATATGATGTTTATATTCAAATGATATCTGAAATATAAAAATTCCAGCAATGTAAATTACAAACTTGGAGTAATTTGTATAATTTTTATGAGCTAAAACAAAATATCTTCGGTGTAAAAAAAAAAAATAATCTTCACGACACACTATCTGTCCAATCAAGAATCCACCCCACACTTACCTCCCCCTCTTCCAACCACATAGCGGTCAGTCCCAACCCTCCCCCACCCTCCACCCAATCCTCCCTTCAGGGTTTTTAACATTTAGTATATTAAATAATACCTCAGATTAAAGTTAGATAATATAATTGACATTGCTGATTCCTTGTAAGATTAAGGAATATTTTGAATATAAATGTCATATATTTTGCACAAAAGATAACATAGTTAATTTGAGAAAATTTTTATCTAAAATTTGTATGTTCTAATGCAAAATATATGATGTTTATATTCAAAATGATCATCAAATTATAAGAATTCCAGCAATGTTAATTATATTCAGACCGGTAATTTGTATGAATTTTATGAGCTAAAACAAATATCTTCAGTTAATAAAAAAATAATTCTTCACGGGTAACAGATGGTCGGTCGTCCTCCCTCCCCCACCCCCCGCCAACCGCCCCAAGGAGATGTGGGATAACCACTAAATTTTAATAAATACCTCAAACTAAAGTTAGGATAATATAATTGACATTGCTGGATTCCTTTGAAGACCAGGGAATATTTTGAATATAAATGTCATATATTTTGCACAAAAGATAACTATAGTTACTCTGGAGAAAAATTTTATCTAAAATTTGTATGTCTAATGCAAAATATATGATGTTTATATTCAAAATGATCACCAAATTATAAGAATTCCAGCAAAAATTATATTCTGGCCGGGTAATTTGTATGAATTTTATGAGCTAAAACAGGTGTGGGCAAATCTAAAATAGCGTTCGAGCTGACACTCACCGCGTATGTGAAAAAAACTGTGGTAAGAAAGTTCATTTCGTGCGAGCAATCACAGATATGATAAAAACAGCTGTTAAGAAACCGCTAAGAAGTGTAATATTGTGTGTGTATATGTATATTATATATATATATATGTATATATATATATATATATATATATATATATATATATATATATATATATATATATATATATATATATATATATATATATATATATATATATATATATATATATATATATATATATATATATATATATATATATATATATATATATAAATAATATATATATATATATATATATTGTCTTCATTTACACGGTCAATTGAACCCATGGAGGTCCGCATAAAACGAGAAACGCGTAAACGAAATAACAGAACATATGTAATTAATTGAAATAGAGACTGGGCCGACACCCAAACTACACTTTTTCAGACACAATACGTACGTTGTAGTAAAAATAACATCTTAATTTTATGATGGTATGAACACACACAATTAATATTTAAGAGAAATATCAATATTAGGTTTTTTTACACTTACGTTAGTAGAAAAGATGGCTGGGCACACAGGGATGGGTGGTTGGTTCCGAGGCAGAGGGCAAATTATTGGCCCTCACCTGTATCACTTGTATCAATTGTATCACTATCCACCACAGAGGCTTGCAGGGCCTCTTTGTCAAACCCCTCAAAGTCCATATCCTCACTATCACTATCACTGACTTGGGCCGGCTGTGGTGGGTGGCGGGTGAAGAACTCGGTAATGTTTTGTTGAATGGGCGACCTTGTGCGCACCCTGCCCGCGCTGCTTCCCACGTAAATAAAAATTGTCGGTCTGGCAAGGTGCCGTGTAAATGATCAAACGCGTAAACCAAATCCGCGTAAATCGAGACTATACTACATCCTTGACCACCGAAGGGTCAAGACGTACCTGGCGCTCCTCTCGGAGCAGCCAGGTCAACTGTTAAGTTGGCCCATACCAACCCCCTCCCCTGAACCCTCCTCCCCACCGGAATATCAACAAGTTCTCGCCAGAAGTTACAATTTCATTTAGGAAAGGAACGGAACCAGTGTTAAACAGAGGTGAACAGTGGTGAACAGTGCTTAAGTCAGTGAGAACAACTCAACAGTAACAGTCATACCCAAGTTAACCTTCACACAGTGAGGTCCCAGGTACCCAGTGATAACGGCCCGTGAGACCCAACAACAACCAGCGATGTGTTAATCCGTCTACGATAGGAAGGCCTAAGACCAAACCTCACTCATATAACACCATCTGTGAGGGAATTACTACACCACATGTCCCTCATAACACCATATGTGAGGGAATTACTACACCACGTCAAGTCCCTCATCACACCATCTGTGAGGGAATTACTACACCACATGATGTCCCTCATAACACCATCTGTGAGGGAGTTACTACACCACGTGAGGCCCCTCATAACACCATCTGTGAGGCAATTACTACACCACGTGAGGTCCCTCATAACACCATCTGTGAGGTAATTACTACACCACGTGAGGTCCCTCATAACACCATCTGTGAGGGAATTACTACACCACGTGAGGCCCCTGATAACACCATCTGCGAGGGAATTACTACACCACGCCAGGTCCCTCATAACACCATCTGAGGGAACTACTACACCACGTGAGTTCCTCCTAACACCATCTGGGAGGGAGTTACTACACTACGAGTTTACTGTTCAACACCCACATTAATCTGTATGTCTACTGTGTGTCTTTACCTTTCTAATGAAGGCTTTATTAAAACCTCACCAATGTATGTAATAAGCTTATGTCCAATGTATATTAGCCTTCGCCGTAGAATTTTTTCATTAAACCGCGTCATATATTTATTATTATTATTATTGTATATGTGTGTGTGTGTGTGTGTGTGTGTGTGCAGCTCCTCCCCGACTTACGACCACCCGCACTTACGACCTGCCTCAGTCATACCAAAATTTTGTAAAATTACGTATTTTCGAGTCCCAACGTCCCAAAATATGCCGACATAAGTTAAGAAATAAATTTGAAACCACTTGCTTCTGCACTGTTGCTTGAAGAGTTCAAATTTAGGAAGTTGGCAGCGGATATTTGGTCTGCAATCATGATGTGTCAGTTATTGACTAAGTTTGTGCTGGATTACGAGGACAGTTCAGAAGTAGACAGATGTTTTGCTGCTGCTATACAAGGGATTCCATATTCCCTGTACAAATCATTTTTGGAAATGTTGTTGAAAGCCCTAAAATTAAAAGCCCAGCTAAGGAAGCAAGCCACTAATAATGCTTCAAGTGGTAGTGCTTATTTATTGCTATGTTCTTCCCCTCTTTCTCCTGCCTTGTTTGATGAACAAACATTAGTTAAGTATAGATCAGCTGTTGAGCAAGCTATTCATATTACTGTTCCCAGGAGTTCTAAAACTCTTTGGAAATTAAAAAGAAGAAGGTCTAACAGGGGAACAAGACCAGCTGCTAGGTTCAGTTATCAACCTAGAGGAAACTTTAGAGGGGGAAAAAATTCAAGACGTAGTAGGAGTGGCCATTTGTTTAGAAGTGGAAGGATATCTTATTCCACCACATCAGCAACCACTCCTTTCCAATGAAGACAGACAGCTGGGTCATCTAGGGGGTTGGGAAAACAGGTGGACTTCTTCCATATGGGCTTACAAACAATCAAAGGGGGTCTTGCCTGTTCCCAGTCCCCAAGAAAGGCAGCGACAAATTGAAGTGGATTTTAGTTCTTGCCGTCCTGAACAAGCAAATTATTGGTCATTTTGAAATTTATTTTACATATTGACAATATATAATGCAGTGCAGTGTTGATTTAAAGAAAATAATCTTGAATTGCACCAAGAGAACTAAAATTTTATGGGTGAAATGGCACCATGGGGTGACTTCTCTTCCACCCCAATGCCTTCTCTTCTCCCTTCTCCACCCCCATTCTAATTCCCATCATCATCATCCAGGAGCCTTCTACATACACAACTCAAAGTAAGTGTACTTTTCTACCTTTTTTGTTGAATTTAGGCAATTTTCGGTGAGCTGGAACCAATTACCCAAAAACCCATTGAAACAATGGTTTCGGTTAACAAGTTTTTCGGTTAACGAGCAACCTTCTAGAACGGATTGTGCTCGTTAACCGAGGGACCACTGTAGTCCAGAATGTGATGTCGACATCCCACCCATCTCCACCCCTCGAGAGTTGACATTTGTTTACTGCTCGCTCTAGGGTAAGAGATGATGGTAGCAAGCGTGTGATGGAGGGTGCAGGAGGGGGTTTTGAGAATTGCAATTAAATGTCAGGTAGCAACGTGTCCTCCTAATATTACGTATTTAAGTAATTATTAGATGTTTTAATTGCCTGTATGTTGGCCTGGCGAGTTAATGCGAGGCATTTACATTCCTAGGTATTAAACTAGACGTCGCATTCTGGACTACTGTATATCACAGAAACTGGTTTTTAGAAAAAATGGCGTTTTTCTTTTCTTATTATTTATAAGTATATTATTTTTATTCATTCTTCATATTTATGGAGGAGTACATTAGACCACAGAGGGATATAGATGCCACACTAATCTGCAGATACTCAAAATTCAATGCAGTGGTTGGTGAAATGTATACTGTGCATAGTAAAAACTGTGGATACCTGGAATCCGTGGATGGGATATCTGCAGTTGGTGAGGGTTTACTATATTGTAAATATTCACTGAGAAATAAGATATAAAAGAGACAAAAAACAGTAATAAGGTAATATAACATAGAAATTAAACGTTGAAAGCTGAGTACATGTACAGGTAAAATATAGTATTGTATCTCTGATGAAAATCAACAAAAAAGATTAGCAAAAATTACCTGCTTTGGATCATGACGAAGGAGGTAGTGTTCCAGAGTGTCCCATCCACCTCCGACTCGAACCATCACATGCTTGCCCTTCAACAGCTGAAAGGTTAAATGTCCATTGAAAGGAAGTATGATATTGTGCTATTGTACATTCATTCAATCATAATCAATTTCATTGTGCAAGTTTTGTGTAAATGCTCCAGAAGAATAAATTTTTCCCCCTTGAAAGCTTATGTCAGTGAAAATGCATCCAAACATTAGCTTCCTCAAAATCTGTTATTTATTCATATTCTTTCGAAAAAACTGAGTTGAAATTTTCTTAACTCAGAAATGTTCTTATATATGGGAAATGCTGAAAGCGAATTTTATAATTTCTTTAATGATGCTGCAATATTGGGAGTTGTTGTGAGTTTGTTAATTATTTTCAATAAGCATTCAATTAATAATTATTATTTTTTTTACTCTGCATGCATGACACAAAGCAATTTGGTATATAACATACAAACATGCCAAACGGTATACAGGTATAAAACAAATTGGAAAGGCAAAAATCATTAATCAGCATGCATGGTACTTAACTATGTGTTGGCAAATTACTTTTAAGATACTCTAAAATAAAATCTAATGAAAAAATCTACAGGAGCAAAGAAGGATAATTGAAATCAAAACACAAAAGCAGAGCAATGTTTACATAGGGCTCTAGAGAAGTGCTGACCATCGCAGATGTTGTAACAGGAATTCGGCGCTTCTGTATAAGAATATAAATAACATATAACAAAGAGAAATACTATATTCCAAGTGAATGCTGTAACATAATTCAGAGAAAAACACAAAATTATAAATCATTTGGAAAAAAACAGAAAAATGAAGGAAAAAAAAGATAGTGTACAATAATATAAATTGTATTTAACAGATCAGTTAATGTTTTTCATCCATGGAAGCACTACAGTGGAAGTGTTCCTTTTTTAAAGTACAAGTAATAATTTTTCTATTTTGCTGCATTAGACTTCAAGAGATTAATATTTTTACTTGTTGCATCTTTTTTGCCTTTGCCTTTTTCTGTACTTACAGTGGATATACAGTACCTGTTCAATGAAAGACAGTGTGCTGCTAGGTAGTAGAAGCCATGGAAGGAAGAACAATACTAAGTTTTAACTCTTACAGTCAGAGGATGTACCCTGTGTGTCCTAGAACACCAAGCAGTGCACCAGGAGAAGTTCCTTGTATGTCCTTACGAAATACTGCTCTGTGTCATTAATGGAATGTTCTTTATATCCCACTACTAGTTGTATTACCACAATATTAATATATTAATAGTCTTAATACCACAACACTGATACTGTATATCAATAGTCGTAATACCCCTGATTTTTTATTTTTTTTAGTGTGTGTTGGGGTGAGTATTGAGGTGATGCAGGGGTGATCGTGGTGGTGTGTGGTAGTGACTCTTGTAATAGTGATAATAATGTGAATAATACTATAATGTGTTTGTAAGCATCTTAGTGACTCGAGATGCATGCACCAAGAATTGGAAGGAAATTATTTCACAAAATTTAGAAACTTGGGGTGGTTCACATAATGTTTTCTCTAATTTCTTTGCTCAAACAATTTTTAGAAAAAGAAAAATCACAACAAATACTCATACTTTATGCAGTAAACCCTTGATAACTTGGAATTTCATATAACTTGGCACGGATATGGTCTCGGAATGTACGATAGTATAACTCGGGAAATGCCGTGATATATAAAATTATCCGGGAAAATCTCGGCATATCTGGCCACTTGTGTCACCTACCATGTCTCTTGTGTCACCTACCATGTCTCTTGTGTCACCTACCATACATCTGTGTCACCTACCATGATGCTTCAATCTTTGCCTGCAGTGCTAGTAGGTGTTACTTTTTTACATTTAGTAATTACATGTAAAAATATATGGGTCGAAAATTTTTGTTGTTGTATTTTTGTAAGAGGGGGAAGTGCATCGAAACGTTGGAATTTGGGATAACTCGGCAAAGTCAAAGCCCCATATGTGCCGAGTTATCGAGGGTTTACTGTATCCGGATTTTATCCCTTTACTGTATCGTCAATAATGTACAGTATATTGTAGTAGTACCTATATACAGAAAAATGCAGTACAATATTACCCCGGTTTACACGGTTTCACTTTCCGCGATTTCTCATTTACACGGTACCTTGCCAGAACCAGACTTTCACTTTCCGCGGTGCATCTACTCATATACACGGTGAAGTATAATTTTATTTTATTTTTTTTTTAGCTCATAAAATTCATACAAATTACCCGGCCAGAATATAATTTACATTGCTGGAATTCTTACAATATGATGATCATTTTGAATATAAACATCATGGATTTTGCATTAGACATACAAATTTTAGATCTAATGTAATAATTTGGTTTACACAAAGCAAATATTTTATCCTTTGTGCAGAATATATGAAGTTTACATTCCAAATATTCCCTGACCTGCAAGGAATCCAGAAATGTCAATTATATTATCCTAACTTTAGTCTGAGGTATTATTTATTACTAAACATTAAAATCTAGAGTTTTCACCCAAACATTAATCAGAGAGGTAGGAGCTAGTGAGCTGGGAAGAGGGGGGGGGGGTGGATTTGAGTCCATTATATGAATGGACATTAACCTGGCGACTGTATTTCTCTTAAATATTAATTGTGTGAGCATACCATCATAAAATTTAGATGTTATTTTTACTACAACATCAGTATTGTGTCGGAAAAAGTGGAGTTTGGGGGTTGGGCCAGTCTCTATTGGAATTAATCCCATATGTTCTGTTATTCACTTTAAGCGGTTTTCACTTTCCGCGGTACCCTGTGGGTTCAATTGACCGCGTAAATCGGGGTACTACTGTATATTGTAGGTACAGTAATACCCCGCTTAACAAGGCTTAGGCGATTTGTATACGCGGTGCCTCGCCAGAGCCGAACTTTCACTTAACGTGGTTTTTTTTTTCCACGTATACACGCAGTGTCGGCTGGAGACTCTATTTTTAGATTCGCCCCACCCCCCACCCGTCACCCTGCCTGACTGCCTGCCTGCCTGTTTTACCTCATAAAATTCATACAAATTACCCGGCCAGAATATAATTTACATTGCTGGAATTCTTACAATATGATGATCATTTTGAATATAAACATCATAGATTTTGCATTAGACATACAAATTTTAGATATAATGTTTACTCTGAGTAAATATGTTATTTTTTGTGCAAAATATATGACATTTGTATTCAAAATATTCCTGGTCTTACAAGGAATCCAGCAATGTCAATTATATTATCCCAACTTTAGTTCAGGTATTATTTATTACTAAAAAGGTAAATATTCTGGTTTTCCCACACATCTGGTAGGGAGGGTTGGTTGGGGGTGGGGGGGACTGACTGACCATCTGTTACCGTGTAAAGAATATTTTTGTTTTTATTAACTGAAGATATTTGTTTTAGCTCATAAAATTCATACAAATTACCCGGTCAGAATATAATTTACATTGCTGGAATTCTTACAATTTGATGATCATTTTGAATATAAACATCATAGATTTTGCATTAGACATACAAATTTTAGATGTAATGTTTACTCTGAGTAAATATGTTATTTTTTGTGCAAAATATATGACATTTGTATTCAAAATATTCCTGGTCTTACAAGGAATCCAGCAATGTCAATTATATTATCCCAACTTTAGTTAGGTATTATTTATTACTTAAAAGGTAAATATTCTGGTTTTCCCACACATCTGGTAGGGAGGGTTGGTTGGGGTTGGGGGGACTGACTGACCATCTGTTACCGTGTAAAGAATATTTTTTTTTTTATTAACTGAAGATATTTGTTTTAGCTCATAAAATTCATACAAATTACCCGGTCAGAATATAATTTACATTGCTGGAATTCTTACAATTTGATGATCATTTTGAATATAAACATCATAGATTTTGCATTAGACATACAAATTTTAGATTAATGTTTACTCTGAGTAAATATGTTATCTTTTGTGCAAAATATATGACATTTATATTCAAAATATTCCTGGTCTTACAAGGAATCCAGCAATGTCAATTATAATATCCTAACTTTAATCTGAGGCATTATTTAATACAAAATGTTAAAATTTAGTTTTTTCACCCAACATCTCTTGAAGGGAGGATTGGTGGGGGGTGGGGGGGGGGGAGGGTTGGGACGGACCGTGCGGTTGGAAGAGGGGGCTGGCAAGGCATCGACTGAACAGATAGGTTGTAAGAATATTTTTTTATTAACTGAAGATATTTGTTTTAGCTCATAAAAATCATACAAATTACCTGGCCAGAATATAATTTACATTGCTGGAATTCTTACAATTTGTTGATCATTTTGAATATAAACATCATATATTTTGCATTAGACATACAAATTTTAGATATAATGTTTACTCTGAGTAAATATATTATCTTTTGTGCAAAATATATGACATTTATATTCAAAATATTCCTGGTCTTACAAGGAATCCAGCAATGTCAATTGTATTATCCTAACTTTAGTTTGAGGTATTATTTATTAAAATTTAGTGGTTTTCCCCCCAAAATTTCTCAGAGGGAAGAGCCAGTGAGTGTAGTGTGAGAAGAGGGGGAGGGAGTTGAGTCCATTATTTGAATGGACATTAACTTGGCGACTGTATTTCTCTATTTCTCTTAAGTATTAATTGTGTGCATGTACCATCATAAAATTAAGATGTTATTTTTACTAGAACATAGGCATTGTGTCAGAAAAAGTAGAGTTTGGGGGTCAGGTCAGTCTCTATTGGAATTAATCCCATATGTTCTGTTGTTCACTTAACGCGGTTTTCACTTAACACGGTACCCTATGGGTTCAATTGACCGCGCTAAGCAGGCACTACTGTACAGTATTCCCTCGATTAACGAATGGTTCAATTAATGAAATTTCGGTTAATGAATTAGCTCCCATAAGGATTTTCAGTTCCATTAACGAACAAAACTTTGATTAATGACAGCCTTACGAGAAACACGCTTTATTGTGCGCATCAGCTGATCGGCTAGTCTGCCAATACAGTACAGCTACTTCCCGACTTACGACCTACTCGACTTACGACCACCCGGACATACGACTGCCTCAGTCGTACCAAAATTTTGTCAAATTACGTATTTTCGAGTCCCAATGTCAGTGATTGCACTGTGTACTGACAAAATTTTGGTTTGTAATTCACTTTAAAATGGCTGGCAAGCTTAAAAGTGAGAGTTTTGTGGTGCTGAGAAGAAAAAGAGACACCCATTTTAGATTTTCTATGTATTATTTAAGCATTTTCGACTTACGACTCTTTCGACTTACGACCTGGATTTGAGTCCCTAACCCCGTCGTAAGTCAGGGAGCAGCTGTAATTGGTTCAATGTTTACATTCGTTTCCAGTGGAGTAAATATCAAGCAAGTTGTGCTCTTGAATACTTTTGCATTTTTTATATTAAAATTATTGGTCATTCTGAAATTTAGTTAACATATTGATAATATATACATTACAGGGAACAGTTTTTGTGTGCCCATCAGCTGATCGAATCGCCCACCAAAGCTTCTCAGTTTAACTTATTGGTCATTCTGAAATTTTGTTAACAAATTGATAATATACAGTGCAGAAATTATTATGAAACATGAGGAAGGCATTAGAACCAATGCACTCCGAAAAAAATATGGCATGTCATCATCGACTGCCTCTCTCTACAATCA